GGTAAATACTTAAGCTTTTTTGCTGGGTGTATATTTAGATGAACATTTAAAAATTTTGATTTAGAATTTAAAAATTGTGGTTAATATTTATTCCAGAAAAATAAGAAGCCAAATTGGACATATTCATCATCATATTTTTAAACCCATATTTGAAGCCATTGAGGTATATTCTGTAAGTATTTTGATCAGAGGAATGCAGTTTAATGATCTAATTAATATTATCTCATGGACTTTCTCAGACTTATTGTTAAATTCCTTAACTTTTATTTTTTAATTTTATTTTATTTTTTAAAATTCCTTAACTTTTATTCTGACTCCAGTATATCTTAGGTTTACATTCCTTAACCAGTGGCTCATTATAAGTATAAAGTAATTTTAATTGAACAACATATGAATTATAATAAATATGACTTAAAGCTGTATATATAAAACTACCCTCGTGATTTTTACTATTCAGCTTTGTGATGATTTGAGTCCTGAGTATGTTCATCTGGTCTCTTCCATCACTTATACATGCTCACTCAACATGCATACTGAGGCTCTCAGACTGTTATATTTTGAAGCAAAAAAGCCCATAATTCATTATTTGAAAAATTTTAAAAACCATTACTTTTTCTACCTTGAAAGTTGCAAGCCTTAGAACACTGTCTAGGTATTGTGCCATATGGAAAACATTGTCCTTTGCTGTCTTTGAGGGTTTGGAATTTTTAGGTGATCGATCCTCTGGAACTTTGTGATGGTATGAATTTATAATTAAAGCTGTAATGTAGATATATTAAAGTACCTTAAAAGCATAGTTAACCTACTTTAGTTTTATTTTGATCTAAAAATGTTTCTGTTAACTTTTGTTGAGTGATTTAGGGGATAAATAACAATTTTCATATAATTTTTTTCTCTGTTGTAGATATGTTTGAAACTAATTTGTGTAGTGCTGCAAAGATATTTAATGTTACTTATTAAAAAAAGAAATAAAGGATTATTTAAGAATAGACATCTTGACTGTAATTTACAGAAACATTGTTTATAGTATGGGCACCGGAAAGGTGATTTTTCTAATGAGAGAAGAAAAAGGTCATTGGGTGTTCTTATATCCAAATTTTCTTTGATTTCAGCCATGCCAGATATATAAGTAGATAATTCTACCTAAATCATACTTTGTTTATACATACATGATATATTCTAATCCTATAGAGTCCCCACTGTAGGGTTGGTCTGTGGGAGATAGGCATGGAGCCAGATCTAGGTCTCTTAGCCAGAGCTAATTCCATGGTTAGAATACTCAAAGACAGCAAAGCTTTATGCTGCCATTAATGTACTGTCATATAGGACATAAGTCATCTGCTTTTCTCAAGTAGAAACTCATGCCAATTATAATGCTGTGCATAAACATTAAAAAGGTGTGTTATGAAGGTTTGTTATCTTTTCAAAAATATATTTGTGTTTTTTATTGGATTAGGATAATCCCACCATGTATACCAGTTTCAGGATGGACATATATTTGAGATATTATTTTTGCATTTTAACTATTTGATATCTGATTAATTCTGTGTAGAAGAAAGACGAGGTTAATGAGATAAGTAACTGATAGATGGTGTCTCTTGGCAGATTTCAGAGTTAGAACACAGATTAGAGGCATAATTTTCTGGTGGGAAGTACCTAAACTTTGTTTTAAGGTGTTTATTCCTTTTAAAGTAGTTCATGTGTCACTTAATTTAATTTTACAATAATTGTATAATAGCCATCTCCAGTTTGGAGCAGAGAAAAGTAAAAACTTTTGACATTAAGTCCAACATGATTACTAGTTTATTGGTTACTTGAAGAAAGTTTTATTTCAGTGTTTTCCATGACATGTGCAATCTCTTTGCTAACTTTATATACATGTGTTTATTTTAAGGGGAACTATAGTTTATACAGTTGCTTTTTAGTCACAATTTTATCAAAAAAGTAATGTAAATAGCATGTTTCAGTAGAGGACAATAGGTGCATGTGTACCTCTGTGCATGTACTTTTAAGTATTTATGGAGTGTAAGAGCATAATAGTAGCTCTGTATAGTAACAGTCATTGTGTGTTTTTTAACCTTTCTAAGATTTCATTTCTATACAAATGAGTTTTGTGAAATTATTATGGCCAAAATATCAGTGTTTATCTTTCACTCAATTTATCTACACTTCATAAAAATGCTTAAATATTACTTCATCATCCTTAAATTTGCCTTTCAGTATGTGAAATCTACGAACTAATTCTTGAATATTTATGAAGTAATTCTGATTTTTGCAGGTGTTGCAAGCCCTTAGGAATATGTAGCTTAATTTGGAACAGGATTCTCTATTTTTTGCTTGATTTTTCATTTTTAAAAACCAAGTTACAGTAAATCCACCTATGTATTATATTTTTATATCTTTCCGTTGTTGTTTGGTTAGACATGATAATCCTCATAGTTTATAATATCCTGATTGAAATGCTAAGAGAATTGTTTTATAAGTAATGTGTATCATTGTGTATATGTCATGTATACCCTCATGTATCCTCTTAAAATTCCATTTTACAGAATGCTTGGGCTTAGCCATCACAGTTAATAAAGAGCTAATGAAGAATACCTTTTCTTGACTTTATTGTTAAGGAAAGTATTTTACAGTTTCTGTTTATTTGTATGAGAGTTGTCTATTTCTAAAAGAGCCATTACGAGACCAGTACTTCAAAATATTTTATAGTATGTTCATTGTGGTATGACCATGGTGATATGCTGCCAGTTGTATTTGAACCAGATAGAACTTAAATCTTTTATGCTGACATAATATTAGTCTTAGGTGGTTTAAGTTTCTCCTTTAGCAGATTTGTGTCCATAAAATTATTTGCCTTAAAAGGAGTAGAACAGATGGTTGGCTGATATAATTAATCCTGTAGGATGCTATCTTACATTGTTTCTCAGGGTGGGGTCTGGGGACCAGCAACATCAGCATTACTGGGGAGGTTGTTAGATGTACAGTTTTGACCAATGCTAGATTACTTAATCAGAATTTGCATTTAACAGATTCTCAGATGATTTGTGTATACATTAAAGTTTGAGAAGGCCCCCTGTGGGAGACATAAGATTTGGCATCTGGATAAGGAACAAACACTTCTCTATTTGAAGTTGCAAGGGTATAAAGATTTAGGAATTATTTCTTCGAATAATGAAACAGATATTCCCCCTTTACATTTCTCTTTAGGACTATTCATTTTTTTCCCCTGGAATAAAATGTGTCTAATGCAATTCTTTACTTTCCTACTTTCATCTTACCTACCAAAGAAGATAAATTTTACTTCTTCCATACCAAATGAGCAAACCCAGTTATTGTTAAGTCTTCCCTAAGATCGTGGCATCCTCTGGATTTGCATAAAATTGAATCTTGTGAAAGGAGATGGAAAACGGAGGCCCTGATGTTACAATTGCCTGGCATCTATCATCACTTGTTTTTCTTGTGTCTGTGATATCGGAGATGCAGACATGCTTTATTTCCTCCTAACTGAAGAATAAGTATGCCCAAATGTCTGCTGTGTGCAAAACGGAACAGTGGTCAGACCTTTACTCAGAGAGTTTACAGTAGGGATAAGGAACTATCCTTGAATGTCAGGTATTCTCCCACCTGCAGAACTGTGCTGTTCTGGGATATGGCCTTATGGATCCATTGGCCAGATGTCCCCTGGCTGTGGTTAAAAGGGAAAGGGGAAATAAAGGACTTATTTGAGTCAGTTACATGTTTTCTAGTAAAATAAGTAATGTCGCAGTGTATCAGTATATTTAAGAGGAGTTAGAATGTAGAGCAATGTAAATGTCTAGATGTACTTTCTCCTAACAGACTTCATGTAATATTTGTTGAGGCATACTCTGCCTTTGGATTTTTCAATTAGCTTGAAATAAAAATATTTTGCTTGCATTATGTCTCCACTACTTCAGAACTCTCTTCAATGCCTGAATATGTCATTTCAAAAACTTCTTAGCTAGGGATCTCTCAGTAAAAATGAAGCCTTGCTCAGTAGTATGGGCAATAAACTACACAGGAGGTAGCGCTGGTCTTGTTGGGTGTGGGGTTGTACCTGCCTCCTTCATGCATTCTTGAGGGTGGCGGTGAGGGTGGAAGTCTTGGGTTCTGGGCCACAGTTTAAAACCCAGTACCCTAGAGTGAGAACACTGCAATGACTACTGTTAACCTACAGACCTGCAGTAGCCTCTCTTGTTAATATATACAAAGATTTTTTTTTTTAATGAAACTCTTTTCCTGTTTTCCATGATTCTCACTTTTATCCAGAATTGTAAAGTTTGTCTGTCTTGCACAGGTGACCCAGAAATCTTTGACTAGGAGCAGCTGCTAGTAGTCAATACATGCGAAAAGCCTTAAACTTGTGGACCTGGGACAAGACACAGAAATGCAAAGATGCCTCCCAGGAATGTATAGTTTTCTACTATATAGTTGGCAAGCATATTATTAATACAACAGAGAAAGGCGGTGGCCATAAATTTCTCACAAGCAAGGAACAGTAAAAGAAAATTATTGCATAATATACTTCAAGAATGTAAAGGCCATTCTCTTCATTTATTGTCCTGAATATACTGCTTACTTTTTAGAAATTTGTATATAATATTTAAAAATATACTAATGCATTTATTGGTTCACTTATGCCACAGGTCTTTTCCTCTTACAGATTTTCAGTCACGAACTTAATACTGGAGATTAGTGTACCGTGATACACTAATTTATAGTAGATGGTGTTTTCTCTTTCTCCCTTAGAAAGGCATGCTAGGCTTATTATTAGAGAAAAGCGACAAGACACCTTTTGCTCAAGATTTTTCAGTAGAAAATACATTTTGACTTGAACAGGGTTTTAGTGGCAACTTGATAATAGATGATTTTAGGAGTTTGCTGAATTATGTCATGATTGTACTGAGAAGTGCTATGTGGTCATACCAAACTGTGACACACTTTGCATAGTGAGTGCTCATGCCTTGCTTGCTCTCCAGGAGAATGACGCAGGCACTTTGGACACAGTGGGCGCTGTAGTGGTGGACCACGAAGGCAACGTTGCTGCTGCTGTCTCCAGTGGAGGCTTGGCCTTGAAGCATCCAGGGAGAGTTGGACAGGTAAGTCATTACGGGGTTTTTAAAAGAGCTTTTTCAATTTAAAACATGGAATTTTCTAGCTCACCATTTTTCTAAGCCAGTAGAAACATTTTTTCTTTAGGGAAAAAAAAAATATTTGTGTGTGTGTGTGTGTGTGTGTGTGTGTGTGTTGTTTACATTTATGTAATAAAAATCATCAAGTACCTTTTCTAGATTCTAAAAAAAAAACCCCAAAAACCTTTCTCATAGTAAGAGTTCTTTTTGATCTTTACAATTAGTAATACTGTGTTTTGTTACTTCCAACAGGCTGGGTATTGGGTATTTAGTAGACAATCAAAAAATAGGAGTTGATACTCATTTTCTTTCTTTTTAAAAATTATTTATTTATTTATTCATGAGACACAGAGAGAAAGAGAGGCAGAGACACAGGCAGAGGGAGAAGCAGGCTCCATGCAGGGAGCCTGACATGGGACTCAATCCTGGGTCTCCAGGATCAGGCCCTGGGCTGAATGCAGTGCTAAACCGCTGAGCCACCCGGGCTGCCCCTCATTTTCTCTCTTTGCAAATGAGACTCTCTTTTTTTCTTTTCTTTTCTTTCTTTTCTTTTCTTTTTTTTTTTTTTTTTATGTAAGACATGCTCAGTCAGCCTTCCTCTGAGTTCCTAATGAGGACCGGGGCAAATGTTGTACACTCTATACAAGAATCTTGGGGTGGCTGGGCCAAGACTCCTACAATGTCATTCTCTGTAGGAGTAAGCACTACCTGATTATATCATTGCTTGCTTTTTAGGTGGGAAATGATTTTAGAGTTACATTGTGTATTTCCTCTATTGGAGGAACAGTAAAATTTTAATCATCTAGATCCCTCTTCTGATTAAGCATTTTAGCTATTTTATAGACTAACCAGTATTTCAGGTCACCAACACATAATACCACGCAAGAAATCAGATTTATATGTAACTGTTTTATTCCCGTTTCATTTGTGCATCTTCTTCACCATTCCTCCTTCCCCCATCTCCAAACTTTAGTTCTATACTGAGAATGATGTTTCACAATCCATTTGATTTACTAAGCTTTCTGAGCATAAACCAATTTATACATTATTTATGGGCTTAATATTTGTTGAGTGAACTAATGACTCATGGAGTCTGTTAAAGTAGTTGCAAGGGTTGTGCCTAAGCTCAGTACTTGGATCTCATGTTACATGCAGAGCACTGCTTGGCATACTCTATATGGATACTTTGTCCATCACATTTAAAGAAGAGTAGGTATCACAGTTGCTTTGGACATGGTGGTTAAAGAATGCTTGGAGCGGAGTGATCTGATTTATGGAGGACATCTTTGGAAAGCTCCAAATGATATTCCCTGATCTGCCCTTTATAGTGTACAAGCCTCTTAATAATCCTGTGGGGGGGATGGGGTAGAGAAGAATAATTAATTTTGTGCTACTCTTTGCCTACTGTACAAAGGGGATTTATGGGGAATGATTACTCAACATGTGTACAATGCTTTGAACTCATTATAAAAAGCTTTTGTCTGGTCATGGTGTTTTTCCACATTATAAAGCCCTGTGTATTTGTCAAGTTTGGAATAAGAACCAAGTCTGGCATATCAGATTTGGATGCCTTGGTGGAGAAGGAGAGAGAAAAGCCAGCATAGTTGCCTTCATTGCATTGTAATTCCCATGACTTTCTCACTGTTTTTTGTTTGTTTTGGTTAGCAAAATAGCAGCAACAGAACCAAGGATAGTTCTGGACTATGTTAGCAGGATATTAAATGAGCAGTCTTAAAAAAAAAATAAATGAGCAGTCTTGAAGCCATTCTGCCACTACAAGTGGGACTGTCCTGGAAAAAGAAATACTTCTATAAAACTTAAATGTATTAATTTGCCTCACTTAGCTAGTTTATGAAGACATAGTTTGTGAGAGTTGAACATCAGCAAAGGGTGTGGTGGATAGGAGTAAAGATACCTAATAGGAAAATATGTTTGCTTAATTGGATGATATTGCATGGATGGAGAAGATGTAATAAGCCTAGAAATATGTAAGCATCAGATGACAGTAAGAAAGCATTCTTCTTGACAATCAGGAGGGAAGGAAACAAAATATACAAGCAAAGTATTGAAAAAATGACTTAAAATATGCTGAAATGAGATGCTTTTAAGTACATTTTAAATGCACAAGTGAATTATTTAAAAGTCTTAGCATATTACCCTGCTCTAGATATATTATGATAACTGTTCAGATGGTAAAATGGCAATTTGAATTAGAACTTATTTGCTTGGCTTACCAACAATAGTTAAAATTTACAAATAGGAGAGGAGAAGGGAATTATTATATTCCATTCTTCCTCCACCCCCAATAGAGCCCCACACAAATAGGCAATAGAGTTTAGTGGTTAAGAGTGTGAATTTTGGATTCAGGTAAACCTTTATTCTAATCTCACCTCCCCACTTAGCATTTCCTTACTGTAAACAAGTTGTTCAATGTCTTTAAGCTCCACTTTCCACAATTGTAAAATGAGTATATGTGACTATTTTACAAAGCTCTGGAAGATTAAATGATGTAATGCATTAAAATTGCTTGTCACAGTCCCTCATAATATAGCTATATATTAGCTGTAACTACTGTTTATTAATCTCTTGCTTATGTGCAGCAAGTATGTTCATTCATGTGATCTTATAACAACATTATGAGGCAGGGGGTTTTGTTATGCTCATTTTACAAGGGAAAACCAGTCCCAAAGAAGATGAAATAACAACAACAATAATAATATTTATATGACCTATTTTTACTGAATGTTAATACCTTTATTAAATGTTAATGAGATTTTACTACTGAAAAGAAGGAAGCTTGTTTTTGTTTTTTAAGGCCTTCTTAAAGTTGTTATGGTTTTTTAAAAAAGATTATTTATTTTGGAGAGAGAATGGGGGGCAGAGAGAAAGAGAGAGAGAGAGAGAGAGAGAGAAGCAGACTCCTAGCTGAGCATGGAGCCTGATGTGGGGCTCTATTTCACGATCCTGAAATCATGTCCTGAGCTGAAATCAACAGTCGGATGTTTAACCAGCTGTGCCACTCAGGTACCCCAAGCTTGTTACGTTTTATCCAAAAAAGTGATAGGAGAGAGAGAGTCTCTGAATCTTTCTTTTATTTGACCTATCACTGTCTGAACTCCATTGATTTCAGAAGATTAAAAAGGAAGACAATTTTAAGTCATGAAATTGAGGGGAAGTAGCATAAAGGGATTTTGTTTAGAGAGAAGAAACAAAGACTAAGTGTTCTTTTCTTTAAAAAAAAAAAATGACCTCTTTTACGTTTCTAAGAGATGTCCTTGTGGCTCTATTTGCTATTTTTGGGTGCAGGCTCCTGGGTCAAGATAATTGTGGGGAATGGAGTCAGGCTCCCGGTGCATGGAGCCTGCTTCTCCCTCTGCCTGTGTCTCTGCCTCTCTCTCTCTCTCTGTGTGACTATCATAAATAAATAAAAATTAAAAAAAAAAAGATAATTGTGGGGAATGGAAAGGACCGTAGACTAATGTCCAGGGTTTTCAGTGAAGGAAGAATAGGCCGTTCCCCTCAGGTCAAATGTCTTCTGAGGCTTTGGCTCACTTAGCACCTGTCCCAGGTAGTACCAATTGAATGGCTTATCCCACAAGTTTGCTAGTTTTATTCTGAAATCCATGTGCTGAATCCCTTCTGTAGGGCCTTCAGTTCCCACTCTGACCCAATAGTCTTGTGTATTTTAGAAGCGTGGTGTTTCAAAGGCTATAATAGATTTTCTCCTGTTTGCCATATTGGGAATGTTGTATTGAATTCTTGGTCCTACTTTTAAGAAGGCTTTGTCAGTGATAGCTAGGGATGGCAACTATGAATCACATGAACATGGGAGACTTCATCTCCAATTAACTTGGATTTTGGAATATTTCTCAAGGAGGGTGATTAGGGGAGTAGAGGGTGTGGGTGTATCTCAAAGTCTTAAGGAGTAGTTCTAGGATTCTCTGAGTGAGGAAGGAGTACTTAGGGCACTTGGATAGCTGTTTTGAAAAATTTAGAGAACTTCAGCAGGGAGGGTAAAGTAATTCCAGAGAGCAGAACCAGTTTTAGTTGGTAGAGGTTATATTATATCAGATATTCCTTAAAGCAATCTAAGGAAGAACTTTTCACCAAAGGCAAGTGTCCAAAAGGGGAATACATTCCCACATGAGTATGGAGGTTCTTGGTATCAGAAGTGCCTGGAATGTTTCATGGAAATTCCTGCTCTGGGTACAATATTGAAGCAAATGAGTTCTGAAGTCCTCATAAAAAAGAATGGAGTATTGAAGAAAGCTAGTCTGTCTGGTCACCATTCCCAGTCTTAGCTTCTTCCCCAAGTCCTTACAAGTGAGCTCCTAGAAAAAAACAGTTACTGTTTTATAGGAATACCTTTTTTCTTCACCAGTCATAAGTCATACTGAATACTCAGTGTATTGTCTTCTTTTTCTTTTTTTTTTAACTCAAAAATATGTTTAGAGATCTTTTTGTATTAGTTCCTAAAAGTCTTTAAAAAATTTTAAATATTTATATTGAATGTCTGCAATGAATTCCACATATTGCTAGGCCAGTGTTTAGCCATTTATTTACTGATGGTCATCTGTGCTTTCAGTTTTCCATTCTCACCAAACTCGTGGTGATGAGCATTCTTGAGCAGGCTTTCTTGTATTTCTTTATGCTAGCTATCAAAGGGTTTTTCTAATTCTGCTTCTAACTAAGGACTAGAAGAGTTATCAGTTTCATTTCCTTTCCCAAAGGCAGAGAAGTCATTGTGGATATTGAAGAGATGAATCCAGACATTCTGGGGGGCATTATTAAAAACAAAATAGGAATGATTGTTACATTCTTTTACAAAACTATAGTAATTTGTGTTATTGGTGGTTTCAGACATATAAATCTGTTCTACCACCTCATAAAGTGACTAGCTTGAATTGACCTTTTTGGCTCCTTTCTTTATATCTGGCCAAATCCGGCACAGTGGTAAGCATATACTCGGCCCTTTGGTAATAACTATTACCAGTTCCTGTTGTGCCACTTATAGAGAGCGTGGCAAAAGCCTTTCTAGACAGGATTTGTTAGAGTATGCCAGGAGGACCACGTGCATCCCAGGCCCCTTGGAGCCCTGATAATAATGCCATTTACTTGGTGTAACCATTTACTTGGGCAACCTCAGACCACTGAATCAGAAGTATCGGGGAATCACAGTCTTATCACCAAGCTTCTCTAGCAGTTTGATATATACCTAGTTTGAGCACTATTTTAAGGCAGCCACAATGATTTCAAGGAGCTAGAAGAGAAGAATTTGTCAGAACTAGCTGACAAACTACAGTAGGGAAAAGGTTGTTCAAGGAAGAAAAAACTATTGTTGATGAGAGTCGAAGAAACTTTCTTTTGCTATTTTCTGAAAAATTTTAGATTAATACAGTAGTTGAAAATATAGTTTAAATACTGTTAGGACCATTGTTTGGGGGGTCTTACGCAGCCTCTGGTATTATTTCCCAGTTGATATGAATTGTTATTAAACCAGTCTTTATTAGATAGGTATGATTTTGTCTTCTGTTGAAAGCAAGTAATTACATATAATATTTTTGAAATACACTGTATATCTATTTTCTCTTTTCCCAGGCTGCTCTTTATGGATGTGGATGCTGGGCTGAAAATACTGGAGCTCATAATCCCTACTCCACAGCTGTGAGTACCTCAGGTATTTGCTGCTTTCATGACCATTTTTCATAACTGCAACATTGTAGGTCACTTAATGATTGAAAGTATTTTTATGTAAATGCTATGCTGAGACACTGTATAGACAAGAGCATTTATGTATGAAAGGTCTTTGATATGTGGGAGCTTTTAAGGATTCTTTCACAGTGTAAATGTCCCAGTGTAAATGTTTTGCTAACATTTCATTACAACTCTGTAGTTAACTATAACAGTTATATTTTTAATGTTTCTTTTTCTCTAGTGACTCATGATAGTTCCAAACTTAGATCACAAAAGATACAAAAGTAACAAGGTATTTCAAAAACTAAGATAATCTTTTGAATAATATGTTGGTATAAAATATAAAGTGTATTTCAAAATGTGTCTACATATACATGTATTTAGACATTTTATTTATTTATTTGGGAAAGACAGCAAGAAAGTGTATGCACACAAGCCAGAGGAGGGGCAGAAGGAGAGGGAGAAGCAGATTCTCCAATGTTCAGGGAGCCCAACGAGGGGCTTTATCCTAGGACCCTGAGATCGGGACTTGAGCTGAAGTCAGATGGTTAACGGATTGAGCCACCCAGGTGCCCTCAAAATGTGTATTTTATGACATCTACCCCTCTACACTTTTTCCCCCCTCTACGCTTTTAATTAAATGTAGGCCCTCTTTTTATATCTGTGTTAGAAGTCATTATCATTTAGAAATTGTATGTAGTGTTTGTGTATGTGTGTGGAGGGTGGGAGTTTAATGGGTAGAATGGTTGTCTAGATCCAGGTTTTCATATGCTTGTGCCAGTTGTACTTGAAGCCTTTTCTCTCAATGTGGTAATATGCGTGGTTGACAAAATAATATTGGTTCATCCCCTTTGCTGTGTTATCTCTCAAGTTATGGCCCTAGGCTTTCTCCTCCATATCCTCAGGCCTTATCAGGAGGATGGATATGGCTGCCTTTCCTTCTTTTCTTCAGTTTCTTGCCACATTGGTTTCTGTATCGTCATACTAACACACTACCCAGTCCAATCCAGCCCTCTTTTCCTGCTTACTCTTGACTTTGTGATCCCTGTTACAGGTAGCTCTATGCTTTTGTAGCATTGATCCTGGAACTCTCTTGGTTTGTCCTGCTTCTCTGACCTACTCCATCCTGACTCTCTTCACAGACTCTTCCCATTGCTATCAGCTCTAGATTTGGGCGTCTCTTGGTTTTTCTTCATTTTACTGTATATGCTTTCTCTTGGTGATTTGGTATTATTGCTGTTCTTCTGATTTCAGCAGTTATCTCTTAGGATATTTGCTTCCATGTCTATCTCTTCTGGACCTTTCTCTGTAGGTCTACATGAGTCTTTTTTTCTGATTTCCTGTTGGACATGTCCCTCTGGGTGTCATCTGTGCACATTAGATTCAGAAGGCTCAATGAAATGCCTTATTCATTAATCACATCCCTTAGCCACCAAATTTCTCATATGTTCCCTCTCTCTTTTCTTGCCATCACTATCCTATTCTTTGTTCAGACTTGAAATCTTGGTACCATTTTCAGGTTTGTTGCTTCTGTCCATTTCCTTGCATCAGTGGAAAAATAATTGTGTGTCACTGATCTATCAGGTGAAGTCCAAACACGAATTAATGTTGAACCTTAACCATACTAATATAATTGGCAAAAAATTGATTTTAATTCTTTCAATTTTGAAGAGATGAGTATAATATGAGTTAATTTTTTAAGAGATTCTATTTATTTATTTATTTATTTGAGAGAGAGAGCATAAGCAAGTAGGGTGAGGAACAAAGGGACAAGCAGACTCTGCATTGAGCACAGAGCCCACCATGACCCCGAGATCACCACCTGAGTCAGACACTTAACCACCTGAGTCAGACACTTAACCTACTGAGCCACCCAGAGGCCCCAATATGAGTTAATTTTTAATTTAATATTGATAGCACATGAAAATTTCTATGCATAATATTTAGGAATTAGCTTGTGTACATAATTAAGTATGACCCTATGTCTATAGAAAATTGTGGTATTTGAGCAAACTAAAGTCTTAAAAAGATAATTCATTGTTTCATTTTTATTTTCCAAAAGACGTATTAGTGTCATATGTGGTGTATTGACTTTATTTTTGGTCAATATGTTATTCATTGAGTTGATTACAATTGTTTAAGTGTTATTCTCATATCTAGATGTTTGGAGACTTGGATTCTTCTTTAAGCTGAAATCCTGAAAGCCTGCCTGACTTTGTCACTTTGGAAAGGAAATTCATTCTCTTTGGGATTGTCCACCTCTTTCCTTTTTTTAAACTGGTAATGTGGAAGTTGGAATAGGAATACATTTCATCAATTTGATTATATTAAGTAGAATGTCAGTGGGTGGGTAAAGCTAAAATTGTAAAATTAAGGTCTTTTTCCCTTCCCCTTGGATATTTCCTCCTTTGCACATCTTGTATTAGCTGAAAATAGTTTCACATGACTAAAGATAACTTTAGGTTTCTAGTTCATGACATCCAGTGCAGCTTTTGAGCTTGAATGCCCAATTTGTCCTGTTGTATCCTTCTGAAGTTTAAGGACTAACTGTCATCAGCCCTCATAACTTGAGAATAATAGAGCAAGTTTTTAGTTCCTTCCATCCCAGGGACTTTGTGTGATTGCTTCAGTATTGTTTCTCCTGGGGCTCTTGCTATGAGGTTGACAATGGAAACACATAGCAGAGTTGGGTGACCAAGTCAGAAGAAAGGTGGTGCACACAGAATTTTGCAATTGTTTGGCCAAAATAAAACTGGTGCCTTAGGCTGTTGTAGAAAATTTAGAGACCTAGCCTACATTTTAGGTTTATAGTTCTTGGAAGGTGATAATTGAAAGGCAGAGTGAAGATAGTTATGGCCAGGGTAGGGCTCTCCCAAGGCCAGACAGGCAATTTGATCATTAACCTGAGGGATAAACTCTAGCATCTTGTCGTCATCATTGGGTGCGGAGGAATGAATGGGGAATGGGGAAGAGTAGTGTGGCAGGAATTGGCCATGGAAACTCTGACTAATGTTCTGGCATCATGGATTTTGTCTAGCTAGGAAGGCAGCAGAGTAGACACCTGGGTTCTTGTGCAGACTCACTCACTGGCTGAGACATTGTCACAGGGTTATTTGTAGAGCAGGAATACCTGCTATTAATATTAATCTAAAAATTAATCTATTAATACCTTAATATCTGTGGGTATTGAATAAGTTGACATATGGAAGGCACTTAGCATACTTCTTGGCTTAGATTAGTAGTTCAGTACTTAACTGTGTATCGTTGAATCTAAGTCACGATCTTTTATAAGACAAACTATTATTTAAAAAATATTGGTTGATTCATATTTTTTATTGTAGTAAGAGCACAATATGAAATCTATTTTCTTAACAAATTTTTTAATGTATAATACAGTATTTTTAACTTTAGGCACAATACTGTACAACATATACCCTGAACTTATTCATCTTGCATTTCTGAAACTTTATGAATTTTTTTATTTTTGGAGAGGGAGGGGAGGGGGTGGGCACAGGGAGAGGGAGAGAAAGAATCTTAAGCAGACTCCATGCCTAGTGTGGAGCCAGATATGGGGCTTGATCTCACAACCCTGAGATCATGACCTGAGTGAAACTCAAGAGTCGGATGCTTAGCTGACTGAGCCACCATGTGCCCTGGAGCTTCATGAATTTTTAGTATCAACTCCCCATTTTCTCCTTCCTCCAGTACCTAGCAATCACCATTCTACTCTTCTGTGAGTTTGACTATTTTAAGTGCCTTATATAAGTGGAATCATGCAGTATCTATCCTTCTGTGACTGACTTATTTCACTTTGAATAATGTCTTCAAGGATTATCCATGTTGTTGTATGTGGAAGGATTTTCATTGTTAAAGTTGAATAATATTCCAATATATATATATATATATACCACATTTTCTTTATCCATTTATCTGATGATACATGTCGGCCATTATTAATAATGATGATGTGAACATGGAGGTGCTGATATCTCTTCAAGATCTTGATTTCCAGTTCTTTTGGATAAGTATCCACAGGTGGATTTGGTGGATCATATCATAGTCCTATTTTTAAGTTTTTGAGAAACCTCCATACTGTTGTCCATAGCAGCTGCACCATTTTGCTTTCTCATGAATAGTGTACAAGGGTTTGAATATTTCTGCAGCCTCACCAACCTTTATTATCTCTTGTCCTTTTAATACTAGCCATTCTAATAGATATGAGGTGATGTCTCATTGTGATTTTGATTTGCACTTCCCTGATGATTAATGAGATTGAACACCTTTTTTATGGACCTGGTGGCCATTTGTATGTCTTTGGAGAAATGTCTGTTCAAGTCCTTTGCTGATGTATTAATCTTACTATTTGTTTTTTTTGTTATTGAGTTTTAAGAGTTCCTCCTATCTTTTGGATATTACCACCTTATCAGATATATTATATGGTTCATAAATATTTTCTTCTATTGTATAGATTGCTTTTTTATTTTGTTGATTGTTTCTTTTTCTGTGCAGAAGCCTTTAGTTTGACTTAATCCCACTTACCTATTTTTGCTTTTGTTGTCTATATGATTAGTGTCATATCCAAGAATATAACCCATATAAGATACATATACCAAGAGTGGGGAGAAGACTGTCAATTATAGAATGACAGACTTCTTTCTCATCACTTAACACATGGTTGTTGCTTTACAAGAAAATAAAGAATTTGGGGATTTTCCTCTGAAAGTCCCCAAGAAATATTCGCTGCACTGATAACAAAGTCATGTTCCATTGCTATTTGCATGCCTTTCTATGTTCATAATTTTTGTTTCAATCCTATATCATACTGTAATCCTTTTGAACATAGGGTAAATGACAAACTCAAAACTTGTAGTTCTAACATGGCACATAACTCAATGGAAGGGTCAGCAACTGGAACAGCTTACCTACTTCTAGAGGCAGTGGTAGCTATCTATGTCACAGCTGCAGCTTGGAGAGCAGCACAGG